GAAATAAAACAAAGCAGAAAAGAAAGAAAATAAAATAAGATAAATAAATAAATTATCTACTTAGGATGGATAATTGTGGGTATAAACGAGCCTAAGACTTGTTTGTGTTTGACTCGTTTAATGTTCGGCTCATTAGTTGCATGTTCATGTTCGAGTTAATTTAAATTATTTTGTTCAAATTAAACTCGGCATAATAATTTTTAAAATTTAATAAATTTTATAGCATAATTAAATTATAAAATTTAACTTTTATTTTAAGAGTACTGTAAATTCTTAGGCCTCAATGCTAGTGTCGTTTTTTAGAGGTCACACCGTTTTCATAAAAGGAAATTGGTTATTTAAAGAGGACGAATAGATTTTTGGTTTTACAATATGGGATTAAGGGTCCAGCTTATTTGCTGCGGTGCATTTTGAAAATGCATGCGGAGGCATTTGGTTTCTACGTCGCGACTGAGTTTCACGATAATTTGTATAGTTTTTTTATTAAACGCGGTCGCAGGTTCGACTTTGTTGCCCGCGTTCGGAGAAAAATCTGTTGGTTCCAATTTAATGGATCGTTGAAGGACAAATTGAAAGAAAATGAGACTAGACTTTTGGGAATTCTCTTTGTATTATTTTGAAAGAGGAAAGGATACAAGTTTGGGGTGTGTGTCTTACATTGCAGCACAACACCCAATTTATACTAACCAATGCATACCGAAAAAAAAAGAAAACGTACACAATAAAGGCAAAGAGAATTGTAGGCATTATTAAGTCATCAATTCACGTCTATTTTAAGACCTATATTTATTGCACTAATTGTGCAATCCATTCATGCTTATTATAAGACCGCTAATTGAGTAATCAATTCATGTCTATTATAAGGCCTATATTTATTTCACTAATTGAGTAATCAATTCAAGATTAGACTCACAATCTCCCCCGTAATCTTGATTTGGTTCGAAGTTGTTTACGCCAAGCAGCTCTCGCATTTTTGCGAATTTGACTCTTGCTAGAGTCTTGGTGAGAATATCCGCACGTTGCTCTCCGGTGTTTATGAATTCCACGAAGATCTATTGATTCTCGACACACTCGCGAATAAAGTGGAAGCGAGTGTCGATGTGCTTGCTGCGTCCATGAAACACCGGGTTCTTTATCAATGCTATTGCAGATTTGTTGTCGACGTAGAGAGTTACTGGTTTTTGCTCGCTTTCGGTCACTTCGCTCAACAAACTTCGGCTGCCATGAACTCTGCCTCACAGGATGATAGAGCAATGGTTCGCTGCTTCTGAGATTGCCAAGTGATTAGGTTTTCGTTGAGGTAAAATGCCATCCCTCCGGTGCTTTTCCTGCCGTCTATATCACCGGCGAGATCACTGTCAGTAAAACCGACGAGTTCTTCAGCTCGTTGTCCTCTTTTATACTGAATCCCGTAGCTCATTGTTCCCTTCACGTAACGGAGAATATGCTTCACCGCCTGCTGGTGTAAAGTGGTAGGCTGCTCCATGTAACGACTCACCATGTCAACTGCGTATTAGATATCGGGTTGAGTATGGGTCAGGTACCTGAGACACCCGATGACACGCCTATACTTTCACAAGGATCCCTTCCACATCCTTTCCGAGCTGCAACTTTGCTTCCATTGGATACTTGCTCGGGTTGCAGTCTACCATCTCGAACTGCTCCAACTCCTTTGCGTAAGCCGATTGCTTCACTGTGATGCGGTCTTTCTTTTGGTCTACCTCGATACCGAGGTAGTATGAGAGTAACCCAAGATCACTCATCTTGAACTCCTTCATCATTTGCTTCTTGAATGTCTCAACGCCATTAATGTTGGATCCCGTTACGATCAAATCGTCAACGTATACGCCGACGATGAGTACTTCTGTTTCGTGATTCCTCGTGTACATAGCCTGCTCTTGAGGACACTTCATGAAGCCTAGACTCGTCATTCTCTTGTTAAGACAAGTGTTCCACGCCCTTGGTGCTTGGCGTAGTCCGTAGAGAGCTTTGGATAACTTGTACACCTTGTGCTCTTCATTCTTGACAATGAATCCTTCGGGTTGGGTGATGTAAACTTCTTCTTTAATATCACCATTGAGAAATGCCGACTTGACGTCCAAGTGGTGGATCTCCCACCCACGATGAGCTGCGAGGGCAAGAATTAACCTGACGGTATCGAGTCTTGCCACTGGTGCGAAGGATTCCTCAAAGTCAACTCCTTGCTTCTGCACGTAACCTTTCGCCACCAATCTTGCTTTGTGCTTGAGGATGTTGCCTTCGCTGTCTCTTTTCAACTTGAACACCCATTTTAAGCCGATGAGCTTGTGACCGGGTGGCAAGTCGGTGAGCTCTCACGTCTTGTTATTCTTGATGGACTCGAGCTCTTTCTGCATGGCCTTATTCCACGCCTCCTCGGTTGCCGCCTCGTGATATGTTGTTGACTCGTCAGTAGTGAGTAACAACAATTCATCAAGATCCATTTCTACTAGTGGTGCTTCCGCATAGACCTCGGCAAGTGAACATAATTTCTTAGGAGCATCTTCGGTTGTGGATCTTCCCGAGCTCTCTTGTTGTTGTTGAGAGTTCGGCATGACCACTGGTGTCATTGGCGAGGTTGAGCTCGCTACTTCTCCGTCATCTTGTAAAATTTTGAACTCCATAGAATTTTGTACGAGCTCGTCATCATCGTTGCACCATTCCCACTTCTTCTCCTCTTCAAACACTGCGTCTCTGCTCACAAGAATTTTTCTGCGTGGTGGATAAAGAAATCTGTGCGCCTTACTTCCGTCTTCGACGCCAAGATACACCATTGCTTGACTTCGATCATCGAGCTTCTTGAGATGTGGACCTGCAACCTTCACATGTGCGGTACATCCAAACACTCTCAAGTGCTTCAAATGAGGTTGCTTGCCGAACTATGCTTGGTAAGGGGTACAATCTCCTAGCACCTTTGTTGTCAAGCGGTTCAAGAGATATACTGCATGTCGTACCGCCTTTCCCCAAAGGTTTGCCGGGACTTGCATGCTTTTAAGCAAGCTTCTCGCGGTGCCCATCACGGTGCGATTTCTCCTCTCCACCACACCATTTTGTTGAGGTGTGTACGATGTCGTGAGGTGACGCTCGACTCCCTCTTCTTTGCAGAACTCCACGAACTTCTGGGAAGTGAACTCGCCACCTCGATTAGTTCTCAAAGTCTTCAACTTGTACTCCGACGTGTTCTCCACGAGCTTCTTGAACTTCTTGAATGTTTCAAAAGCTTCACATTTTTCTTTGAGCATGTACACCCACATCCAACGACTATAATCATCAACAAGTAAAAAGAAATACTTGTTACCAACGAGTGATGTCGGGGTGATCGAACTCTACACAGATCCGCGTGCACAAGTTGTAGAGGGTGCTCGGCTCATAAATTGGCTTGGGCAGGAAACGACAGTCTTGTTTGCTTTGAAATCATGCAACTCTCACACACTTGGTTGGGGTGTGTGATCTTAGACAGTCCTATGGTCATCTCCTTCTCTCTCCTTCTCCCCCATCATTTTGAGCGCATAAAAGTTTACACGCCCAAGTCTCGCATGCCATAACCAAGTCGGATATGCTAGTGATGCTAATAGAGAAGCGGGTTGGCTTGTCTCGAGGGAAATCTTGTACAACCGATTTGGCGATTTTTCCACCTTCATCAACAGGGCGCAATTTCGGTCGAACATCTTCAAGAACGAGCCGACTAAGGTGATCGTTTTGCCTTCTTCTGTCATCTGACCGAGACTTATAATATTATTTTTTAATTTTGGAATGTAATAATCTCGGTCATTAGACGTTGATCGCCGTTTTTTCATATAAACAGGATGGTTCCTCGGCCCTTGATCTCGATGAGTGAACCGTCTCCGAACTTCACATTTCCGACGATCTTCTCGTTGAGCTCATTGAACTTCTCTGGATGGCCTGTCATGTGGTTGCTTGCTCCATTGTCAAGATACCATATGTCAGTGTGATTATTTATACTCCTCGCCACTTCTCGCCACTTGCAAGGAGGTTCGCCTTGACTTTTTCTTCATTGAGCAACACCCCCTCTGCTTCCTCTTTGGACGATTCTTGCATGAACTATTCGAGGTTTGTCTCCTCGTCTTCGGGCAAGGGATTCGCCACTCCCTCGGCAAACATCAACGTCATGGAGGCTAGTAAGGTTCGCTTCCTCTTCGGCCTTCTTGCTACGACATTCGGACGCGTAGTGTTCGTACTTTTGACAATTGTAATACTTCACTGTGCTCTTGTCTTTGCGTGGTTTGATGTCTTCTTGTTGAGGTGAGTTTTCTCCGCCTTGACCTTCCCTTGTCCCCGCCCTTTGCCACGACCTCAGCTATCTCCACCGTTGCCGCCGATACTCGACGATCCGGAAGAAAAATCGGCTTCTCCGTTTTTCTTCATTCGTGACATCCATTTTGCATGCGTGAGCAAGAGGTGCTTCTCCGCCTCTTGGTCTCCGTAGTCGCGAAGTCTCTCTTCGTGGACTTTGAGACGACCAACGACTTCCTCGACGGTCATGTTTTTTAGGTCACCGAATTGCTAGATTGCAGTGACGATCTGTATGTATTTTTGTGGTACGGCTCGAAGGAACTTCTTGACGACGGAAATCTCCTCCAACTTCTCTCCCAACGAGCGGATGCTTGTCACAATGGACGTTAATTTCATGGCGAAATCGTCCATCGTCTCTCCGTCCTTGCGGATCGCTCGAAGTGAGTCCTCAGGGTCTGCACTTTCGCCTCCTTGACTCGTTCCACACCGACGTGCATCATCTTTAGTGTCTCCCATGCTTACTTGGTGGAATTCTTCTCTGCCACCATGAGAAGAACGTCCTCTGATAGCGCTTGATAGATGGCAGTGAGGACCATTTTATCCTTACGCTCTTCGACTTCGTCTTGCTCCATGGCGTCCCACACTCCTTAAGCTTGTAGGTTCACACGCATCTTCAACGCCCACACCGAGTAGTTACTCTTCGTAAGTAACTCCCTTCCGATCTTCAGTGCTGCCATATCTCCTCTGATAGCTTTGCTCGGTGACGACATGTCCTTTGGCTAACTTGGCTCTGATACCAAATGTTTGTTCCAGTTTAATGGATCGCTAAAGGATAAATTGAAATAAAATAAGACTAGACTTTTGGGAATTCTCTTTATATTATTTTGAAAGAGGAAAGGATACAAGTTTGGAGTGTGTCTTACATTGCAGCACAACGCCCAATTTATACTAACCAATGGATACCGAAAAAAAAAGAAAATGTACACAATAAAGGCAAAGAGAATTGTAGGCATTAAGTGTCATCAATTCACGTCTATTTTAAGACCTATATTTATTCCACTAATTGTGTAATTCATTTATGCCTATTATAAGACCACTAATTGAGTAATCAATTCATGCCTATATTTATTCCACTAATTGAGTAATCAATTCAAGATTAGACTCATAAAATCTTTACTGGGCTGCCCTCATCCTGTGCCCTCTAGTGCTTCGTCTCGTCTACCCTCATCCCGTGCCCTCTAGTGCTTCGTCTACCCTCATCTCGTGACTCTTTCGATCGCTCCCGCATCTCCTCTGCCCTACCCTAGGTCCCTCTTCAATCGCTCTCGCCTTTCTTCTCGTCCTCCTCCCTCTGATCCCTGGTTGTGTTGCTCTGTACAGACTGTCCGCCATCATAAGCGGCTGATATCAACACAGTTGCATTCTCCTAAAGCTCTGTCTCCTCTCTGCTTAAACTGGCAAGGGAAGAACATACCACCACCTAATCGAGCGCAGGAACTATTGCTCCATTGCTTCTCTGCGTCAATTATTTTCTTGCCCTTGTTTGATTTCTTTCTTTCTTTTTTGTTATCGCTAACAGGGACGTGCTCCGATCCGATTTCGGTTCCTCCTGGAGGTTCAAATCTTGTTCTCTTCAAGAGGATGTTGAGAATTGACGGTACTAATCAGCCATTAGGGATATTATTTTAGTATTTTTTTGTTAGAACTGATTAGTTTGTAAATACAAGTGCAATTAGGCTCCTTGTTCCACTTGATTCTGTAATAGGTGTATTGGAGAAGGAAGTAATTGATATGGAGATAGTCAAGAAAGTAGAAAAGTAACTCAGAAGGTTTCTTCTGATGTGGCTGAATCACTACCGGCTGATAGCAACCTAAACAAATTTACTATCGATGTGGAAAACGAGGCAGAAGAATTGAGTGGTATTTACCACTTTGGTGTGCATGGACATTGAGCAGATTGAAATTTTCATGCACAAGATCATCTTTTAAAGCTTGCCTTTCCAATTTTAATCATTTATTTTATTCGTAGATGCAATTTCTTCTTATGCAATGTATATAGATGTTTATTTTGTCTATAATATTGCTTAGTGTAATAGAAATTGGACCTCTTGTTTTTTGTTAAAAGTTCTTTTGATTGTTAATTGCCGGCTTCATTAAAAATATGTTGTTTAAGGATTGAAGAAAAAGGAATTTAATGTCACCTTATCATCCAACTATCTAAAGAATGCGCGCACACAACAGAAGATGATTGGGCATTGTTTGGAAATATTTATTATTTAGCGCTCAACTATCTGAAATTAACATGTCTCTTTGCCCATTTATGTAGACGAGTTGCTCTACAAGTGTACTCACCATAATTATTGTGAATTTAAGGAGAGGATGAACTCGTGGGCAAGATTTATCCTTTTGGGTTTTCACCCAAATAAAATTTGCAGTATGATTGTTGAATTTGGTGCATTTCAATTGTGTTTGTTTATTCATATTGAAATGCATTCATGAGAGCTATTACATTGTTTAATATGCACTCAACTTTGTTATATTTGTAATGTTTTGTTTGTTTTAGGTATAAAATGCCGAATGAAAGCCCCATCTCGACACTCGGAAGAAGGAATAATAGAGTTCGATCAACAACTGCATACATGTTGGGGTGCCAACCTCCTTGTGGCCACCCGATGAAGGCTACAAAAAAAATATTTACAAATTTCTTAGAAAATAACACTAAGATGGTAAAAAACTCCGCAAATATGATCGTTTTGGAAATTTGGGGAATTTGGGGTCATCACAAGTTAGCTTGCAAAATTTCAGTTGGCCAAGAAATTTACAAGGAAAGCCTGGGGATAACAACAATTGGTTTAAGTAATCCTTAGTAGCGTTATATAGGCGAGCATGAAGCCAGATTGCAGCCAGGAGAGCTCCTGCTAACTGAGGAGCGCAAGGATACAGAGATGGTGCAAGTTTAAGGAGAGATTTGTTGATCAAATTGCTTATATTCAGCCCAACCGAACATCTGAGGAGCATAATTTGTGGTCATATATGTCCAGACATGCAATTGAATTGCTGCTCTTGAGAGGACTTGTCATGATAATTATGACATTTGACACTTGATTTGTAAAGAAAAATGGAAAAAAGGAGTGATTGAAGCAATGATAATGTGTGTGCATTTTCTTCTTGGTTTCATAGCCATGGAAGCTTAACAGTTTATCCTTATTTGTATAAATAGTGCTGCAATAATTTTGTACCAAACCACATAACATATTAATTTGATGGCTGATGGATTAAATGGTGATTTATTGTGTTAGATCATGAGAAGTTGTTTTGTTATGTGTTGCTTTTTTGTTAGGCATGAAATAGCGTCATGATAAGAAAGTTATGCTTTCGAACAAAAGTGTGTCGTGATAAAGTAGACCCATCAGTTGTACAACAAACGCCTTATAGAGGACGGCGTAGTTCGAGACATAAGCCATCTGGATTTTAAAATTAATATTATGATTTTTTTAAATGTAATTTTAATATATATTTGTTTTATATTTTTTAGTGCACTTGATACTGTTATGTGAGGTATGCATTCTGTTTTTTCTACTGTTTTGAAGTGATTTTTTACTTCTTAAATATTAAATATATTGTTATGACAGTTTTGTTGTAAATAATATTATTATACAGAGGCGAATTGGTCATTTATCCAAAATAAGTTACAAATCAGTTGTTTTCCAACAGCTAAAACTAAACAACCAATCAGTTTATCCGGATCAACTGCTGATCAGTAGTTTATCTATATCAACTGCTTGCCAGTAGATTGTCAATAAGCTGCAACTGCCCTAAATAGACCCTAAATCTAGTCAAGCGGACGCAGCCAGGGACCACATCTTTATTTTTGTCAGTTGGGGATAGAGTGGGTGAGGTTAATTTTTTTTAGACAATTCAGTACATACCACCTAATTCTTATGTATTTATATATCCAATATAAAAAATATATATTTTTTTTTTCACAGTTAGTGTTTTATAAATCAAATTTAAAAAATTTATTCATATTTGGCTTGTTTGCTTAATAACAAATTGAATATGTCTATATGAGCTATTTAACAAACCTTAACGCCCGAATCATATTTCTACCTCATCATCAACTCTTTTTTTTTTTTAATATATCGAAATATCCTTTACAGCTTTTTTTAACATATCTACATTTTTGTCTTTAGGCTGCTCAGATTTTACTGGGAGAGAGCTGCAATCTTCTGCATGGAGTGATCAGCTGTTGGAGTTTAACAGCTCTGTCTCACCGTCCGAACACTTGGCTCTTTAATCAGTTTTTAAGATATGGAGCGAGCTTCAATGAGATAAGCTTGATTTTTCTGAACCTACTCAGTTGCCCATCAGTTCTCAGTAGTTTCTTCCGTTGAAAATCAAAATCAAAAAATAGAACTTTTGTCTTTTAGTTGTCTTTAATACATACCTAAATATAACACAGTTTTTATATATTTATTGTTAAATTGTCTTTGTATCAATTGTGAGAAATGCATACAACCGAATAAAAATAGTGCTGTCAAAATGGCTCGTTGTTCGCGAACAGCTCGTGTTCGGCTCGGTAAGAAGCTCATGTTCGGCTCGTTCGCTAAGTTAACGACCCTAACACGAACAACATGAATAAATATTTGTTTGTTCGTGTTCCGCTCGTTTATACATATATAGTATTTTTTTTAAAAAATAATTAACTACAACACTGCAAACTACAACGCTGCAAAATTTATAATCAATTAATATTATTAATTAAGAAAATAGAATAAAAATTATTAAATTAGATTCAAATGGTGTTTTAAATCTTGCCCTAATACTTAACATCTTATGACTATATGATTAAACTCTTTGTTCGTGAAAGCGAACAGCTCGTGTTTAGCTCGTTAAGAAAACGAGCCGAACACGAACACACTTTCTGAGCTCGAAATATAAACTAGCTGAACATGAGCTGAGCCTAGGCTCGCTCGTGTTCGGCTCGTTTACACCTCTAATTATATGGTATAAAATGAGTGGGAGAGAGAGAGAAAGATGAATGAAAATCTTTTGGGTGAATGTTAGAAAATATATTAATTCGAAATCTCTAACAAATCTGAGGGAACTGGCTCGGATGTCCCTGGTATATAGGAATTGAGAGAGCGAGATATGTCCTATCTTTTTTCTTTCCACTTACATGGGATTAATTTTATAAAATAATTAAAGTAGTGAATTTCACGCTACATGGTGATTTTATTTGATATCCTAATGAAAAGAGCGTGATGTGGATGTCATTGTATTGTCAGCTGATGTCAGGCATTGCCGGTAAATATCAGATATTATCGGTACTGAAGTCATTTCGGCACATGGGTGAAAATATACTTTTTCAAATGTCAGATGACGCGTTTTTAATTAGGAATTGATGGACGTTCTAGCTGCATGTGTACTTACTCTGATGCAGGCGGGGTATGTTACTCTTTTAAGGGAAAATGAGAGATCAAATTGGCAGGATGGCTTGGTCCAACCAATTCGTGGGTGAGTTCAATTCAGTCACTTCGGTCAAGTGGGCTTAGTCGTTGGGTTTGGTTCAACCGCTTCGGTTGGTGGGTTAGTTTCCGTAAGAGAATTTAAAAAAAAAAATCTCTATATATTTGTATTTGTATATCTAACTAATAAACAAATAGTTGTAACAACACAAAAAATGATGATTTTACATCCCTAAAATGTTACAACTGTAAATATCAAATTTTTTTTGGAGTCATAAAAAAAAACTTTTTGGTGTTAGATTTATAAATATATAAACAATGGGCTATGTATGTAAATTTTCTATATATATAATGATTTATAAGTGATTTTGATTAGTTGAATTCATTCAGGTACAGCTATTAGTTTGCCAGTAAAAGGCATGGTGGGGTTTAGTTCTGGTATCTGTTCTGTTATCTACTGAGTAGTTTCTCAGACTTGTCTCTTTCAGCACCGAAACATTGAGGTGGATTTGTTTTATCAGACGCCATAGTTATTGCAGCAGGAAATTGATGGTTTTAAAGGCCAGAGATTTTTGTGCATCTCTGGGAATGCTAAATGCTCAAAGTCTCGCATGCCATAAATAACATATTACATTCACGTAATGATAATGTGATGGTGAGAGAAATAATAAATGAATCTCTTGACACCAATAACATCTTATCATATGCGTTTGAGGCCCACATAAAAATGTTGAAAATGAGTTTATTATAATGATAAAGCAAACAACTTAAATAACAACATAATAACATCGTAATACCATCGATATTGCTGTTTCATTTTGATAATCCCGCAAAATAACTCAAAAATAACACACTAACACCGGTGATCAGAGTTAATAACGTCACCCGAAGGAACATGCAAATAACACTGCAACAATATCATAATAACCCCCGCAAAACAACTGCAATAACACCAAAATAATATCACAATAATACCGTGAATAACGTCAATAGCACCGCTCAGAAGATCATGCAAATAACACTGCGATGTTATTGGGGTGTTATTGGGTGATTAAATTTATTTTTAGGAAAGAAGGGTGAAATTTATGCATAGACAAATTGGAAAGGATAAAAAATAGAAACTTAAATGAACACATAAAATCATAAAAAAAAATTTATGGTGGAAATATTGTGTTATCACATTATAAAATTGGAGAGATATTATGAATTTTTGTGAAGAAAAAGGGAGGGGAAGCTCATTTTTTATATCCTATTTCTAGTAATGTTCCTGTCAGCTAGTTTGTTCGTGGGATAACTTATTTGGGTGAGATGATGTTGTGAGATTTGTTATGAGAGAAGTCTCATTTGAGAGTTGTTTCCTTGGAGGAATTGAACTGTCAGATGAATTCAGTTGTTCTTCTGTATGAATTAAGCGGTTTGGATGAATTGCATTGTTCTTTCTGTATGAATTCAGTTGTTTGCCTGGATGAATTCAGCTATTGGATGAATTCAGCTCTTGTATGAATTCAGATACTATCTTAGATCATTTCAGCTGTCGAATTGTTGGGATAAGAGATTGGGCTCGATTGATTTACAATCAAAATAATACCGCAAAAAAAAGGATCACATTGATTCGAGAAATCAAGAATAATGCGTCGAACAGAAATGCACAACAAAGTAATTCCGGAAAAAACAAGATTTAACGTCGGAAGACCTGAGAATGGGAATAAACCTTGGAGTCAAACCACATAAAAAAAATTTACTTTGAAAGGGGAAGTTTAAGAAGATTACATCACAAATAAGTGTTGGGTCAGTGGGAGGATTTGTAATGATTGAGCATTAGCTCAAATGAATATATATTCTTAGAATTAAAGAATTCTTAAAGAGTATCTTATGAAAGTTCCTAAGAGAACTCATAATAGCTTCTAATTGTTGAAGTGAAAGTATGTAGACAATTCATGCTTGGCTTTCACCCTTACCTATCATATATAGAGATAAATTTTAGGAAAATTTGATGTATTATAAACACCCCATCAACATCCACACACACACACACACACAAAGTTTTAGAATCATATAAATAAGGCAGGATTTCAAAAAAGTATTAAAAAAATTTTAATATTATTACATTTTTTTCTCTTTTTTGGAAAGAACATTTACGTGTTTTTCTATAAGATAAAGCCAATGAGACGATTTTCCTTAAAAATATTTAATGAGGTGGATGGTGATAACTTTAGTGTAATGTGGGTGAAGGTGCTAAAAGTACCTCAAAATTT